AGGACACTTAGATCGATGTCGATGAATATACTGATAAAGCTTGCTGCATTCAGAACCCAAATAACAGCAATATCATTGAAATTAAATTGATCGAATGTTGTGAGGGTGATTGACATAAAATATATTACATCCAACTGTCTGTGTTGGATTACAAATATATTTTTATTGTCCCACCATTAACTTACAAGATTCACATACAATTACGGCTGATCCTTTCGTGTAAGTATTTCCTCCGTTTTTAGGTGAAAACTGTAAAATTTTCATAGCCAATAAAACAGAATTGTGCTTCCAAATGTATGTTTTATTTACATTTTAATGATAACATCATGAAACTGCGAGGTTCCCATTAAATCAAAGCAAATTATAAAGTTGTAATTTTAGATAAAGGCACGAGGAAGACCCCGGTTCCAAATTGAAAGTGCATAAATTTCTATTCTTGTAAGTAACATAATTTCGCAAGCAAAAGCCATTTTTTACTCTAAAATTGTTCCCTCTGTTCCAAAATACCAATGTTTTATCACTGCATATTTATTTGCTTCGCAATTTGATAGACTATACAGCTGAATAAAGAACATCACACTACCAAGTGGTATCGCTCCTGATTTGTATTTGGGACGTCCCGGGTTCAAATCCTGAGACTGGCTCTCCTGATTGAGATTCTTGCGTCTTTCCCCCATGCTCACCAGGCAGACACCTTAACTCATGTCACAATTCTTTCTTCCATATACTTTTCAATTAATTATGTATTAGTCAACCTACAATTCTGAACTACTGTCAGTGTCGTTAAGTAACTGACTATATAAAACGGAAATCTGAAAAATCTAAATTCTGAAAAGTTAAAATACAACGAGGTAACACTTTCGGCAGATTTTCCCCTCTTAAGAGTGTATTTTGTTAAGAATCGGACATTAGTTTTAAATAGGTCAGGAAAGAACACTCACGTGTCTAGCAAACAGCAATTCGTCATTGCTGAAACATTAATCATTCTGTCCAGTCGTGTCCTAGATTGATATGAGGTTGCATATTCCCAGTACTTACCGACCGTCAGGCTCTCTTGAGTACCAGTCGACATGTTCTTCAATTGCAGTTCATCCTCGTCCTTACAGCCCATTTCCCCCACTTCCCTTGGTTTAACTAAGTTCTAAGTCCCTTATTCCTCTCCCACTTATTTATCCATGCACTGTCGTCTTTCTCACTCCTTCCATCAGATGGCTCGCTGTTTGTCCTTTATGTTAGCCTTCCATTTGGCTTGTGTACTTACCACCCACGAACCAAAAGACACAACGTCATATTTTTCGAGGAAAATGTTTCTACCGACGTCTACCTACTCCTAATGAAACAGCCAATGTCCTTCAGACTTGACTAGGATTACGCCGTTCGTACGACGCAGAAAAACGGTGACGATTGTAATAAGAAGAAATTAAATCGAGGTCATGGTAGAGCCTATGCTGGAGTCTGGCGGAGTCTACATTTAGCGAGAATCTGGAATCTGGCTGTCGGTTTCATTTTGGTGGGTTTGTCATACATTTTCACATTTAAATTGGTTTATACATAAACGTTGAACTTTCAAATTCGGCTGGATATCTTTACAGGAAACAAGCATTGCAAAGACGAGATCTGGTTGTGGGCACATACTCATTTCCCAAAAGGATTGTTAATTTCTTAAATGCCTCAAGTCGAAAATTCGAACAAAACTTATGTTTGTACGGCGTCATATAGCGTCCGACCAAACTACTCATCCAACACAGCGTGTGCGACTTCACGGTCCTCTCAGAGAGTACACTTTGGAACAGCGTCGTGCAAAAATATCTTTCTGTGGAGGCGTGCCTGGAAGGGGTGTGCACCCTCGAAGGATCTGAAAATTCGTAAAATGAGCAACCAGTATCTGCGAATTCCTGCGCTGAAGATTGTGAATGCAAGACAACATTGAACTTTGAACTTTGTATTTCAGGGGCGTGAATCGTATTGTTCCCTTCTAAAGCAATGTTTCACGTATAGGAGATCTGTAAAGGAGATGTCGCTGTGTGATTAAGAATGGCTAACAAAACATTTTTGTCATAACATGATTGAATTAGCTACATGTTCAAATTAAAACGCTGCAATATATACTTCTGCATCTAGTGTTACATAGCTGAGATTGTTGCCACAAATAAGTTAGGAAATATACGCAAAGCGTAACAATTCTGGCTAGTTCGCCAGACTTTGACATTTGGCTTTTAATCAAAGTAATCAAGTAACCATTGAAAATAAGATCGCCCGGGATTCCCCACCAAACCAAGTAAATCGCCTACATTTTTATGTACAGTGCCCGTTATTGATGTTCGATTTTAACAAAAATTAGAATGTGTCGATAAATTGTATTTAATTTCTCGAGTATCAAATTTCATAAAAATCTGTCCAACCGTTCTCGAGTTTCATGCTGACAGATGGACGGAATGGTTTAAATAGGCTTTCCGCAGCAATGCAAACGTGACAAAAGAAGTTTTAATTTTGAAAAATAAGGCAGAGCCATTGATTTATGCAATTTATCTGTTAACTAATTTTTAAACCTAAATGGGATTTATGGTGGTGTGAGCTGTAATATCAATTAATTCTTGTAGCCAGAAGCTCTAACGTCTCAGAGAAAATGATCTTTTACATCAATAAAGAATAATTCTCAGAAACTTATTTTTTCATTTTCATCATTGTTCATCTACGGTATACAACTTTGCAATTTTCATTTAAGTGACACGAATATCTTCAGAGACTACGAAATTTCTTCTAGTAACTGAACTTTCGTCTAATTTAATTATCACCAATGATTTTCTGTTTGAAACTCAACTCACTAAGGTAATTGGAAAATTTTCAGCAAATTGTTGGACTCCACGTTAAAGGACTCTGCTAATGAAAACGACTTATCACACTGGTAGATTGCATGACTGCAATTGCATTGCTGAGTTATATTAATTCTCCAGACTTCTACTAGTTACACAGCGAACAAGTATTGCTGATTTCAAGATATGGCGTATAGTGGATGCAATCTATCCTAAAGCAATCTAGTGGTTCTTCTCGCTGAGTGATATTCCCAGACGTTTTGATTCAGAATTGGACTTCTTCTGTTTGCAGACATTTATTGAAACAATTTACGAAATGTGTTCATTCCATAAGAATTCCGGCACGTTTGCCATAATTTGACCATTGAACAAAGGACTGTAAGACGGTAGCTATGGTAACTAGGGCATCCTGGGGATTCTGACCCCCCCCCTCCCCCTAGACAGTTCGGCTAGCAGAAACGCGTGTAGGTCTTCATGTAAAGTGTGCTTTAGTGTTGGATTTTATCCTAAATTAGAATGTATCAACAAATTTGTTGAACTGACCAATATTCAGTTTCATGAATGTGCCTTCAACCTTGCTTGGTTTGTTAGATACAAATGGACGGGCGAAAGGACGGAGCAGTTTTATTATGCGTTCTGCAGGTACGCGAAAATAAGTTTTAAACTTAAGGATAAGTTAATCGAAATAACACTTCCTTTTTTAACTTCCATTGCTTAATTTATTCTTTGTTTATAAAAATAAAATATCAGAACTGTTATCGCTTTACAAAATCTTAATGTTATTTATTTCTTACTGGCGATTTTAATATTGATACAAATTAATCCGGGTCATATATATTACGTGAAGTGATTATTGAAATTCGGCTTATTCAACTAAATATGAAAGAACGTATTACAGAAATTCTTAACAAAACGTCTTGTTGTTGAAACGTATTGGAGCGTAAGGCTTTTTCCACTTAACAGAAAAACTGAGCCTGTGGCCATCACACGTCATCTTTTTTTCTTTCATTCGTTTGAAACAGAACCAACAGCATCCCTGCCCGTAGTGACAGAAGTGGAAGGCCTACTTTTACTGCTTTCAGTGTACCTTCATAAAATGATGTAGTGGCGGAAGAAACGGTCTGGACTAAAAATACGAAGAGAGACTTGAGTTCGGTGTCGCATATCGCATTTCGAGGGCATTGAACTGAAAGGCGATGCAGAGGGTGGAACAGGCGATCGTAACTTCATATTCTCGGAGGAAAGTCTGACAGCCCCGGAAATATATTAACAAGTTAGGAAATGTTTGCGTAGTGTACCAGTTCTGGGGCGTTAGGAAGACCTTTTGACCTTTCATCTTTGTCAATGGCTGGAGAATATCCTGGCAGGAAATTTTTAACCAAGTCTTTTCGGCGCTCAAGATCACAGAAAGTACAAATTATTGCTGTCTGATTTTGACCAAAATATGAACTTATAGACAAATTCTAGTCAAGTGTCTCCCATATTAAATTTCATGATAATCTGTTCCGCAGTTGGTGTGTTTTCACATGCGTGCAGATATCAATCTACATTCACATACATGAGATCGCGAATAAAAATAACACTGGAATAACTAAATTGAAACAGGATTGGAATGAATGAATGAATTTAGAACAGAGAGTGTGAAAGAGGAATGTGTTGGTCAGAAATTTGATATCTTCCCCAAATTAGTTAGTTACTTAGAGTGAGACTTCAGGTTCTGACAGTACCGAGTTGTCTTTTGGGTTGTTGCACCTAGTGGACGTTTACCGACGTTCCAGATGTGCTTACTCCTTCATCGCGTTTTTTGTGGAGGCAATAAGCACCTCTGAAACGTTTTAAAACTTTCACCAGACTACACGATGCGCCAGCCCAGAATACACCCGTCTTTAACGACGGTAGTAATAATGCTCTGTATTTTAAATCTGAACACAGAAGAATACCTTTAACTTTTAAGCACGAGTTCTTTTCTTTGTTAGTTAGTTAGTTAGTTCAACCCCTGTAACTCACTGTCGAGGCATACTGGTCATCTACAAGATGCCCATGTCTTCGTAAATGGATATAAACGTTCTTCTGGCACGACAGTCAAACACAGGCTATACTAATTGTACCCGAAGTGATTCAGGCGTGCAATGTGGTGTATGTTGCGTTTATTTTGTGGCTTCAACCAGAACTTTTCTCGTGTTTCAGAGTGGACATAAACGAGGCGCATCGCAATGGCAGCTATTACCAGTGTTGCTCCGGCTTCTGCATCGATCTTTTGGAAAAATTCGCCGAAGAACTTGGATTCACTTACGAACTTGTCAGAGTCGAAGATGGGCGATGGGGAACGTTAGATGTAAGTTGACGTGGTAACATAACTGTGTTATTAGAATATTTCAGTAATTTTAACACATGAGGAGGTTTATGAGAAATAAGCAGAAACACATAAATGTCGGCCGGCTTCTGGGTTGTAGCGCCGTGTGGTCTGGTAGACGTTTACCAATGTTTCAGAGGTCCTTGCTGCTCCAGAAGTTAGCCATCTTCGTACTCACTGCCGCAAGAACCTAAAATCCAACATAATATGTTAGTAACGGCTATGTGAAACTAGTTCTGAAAATAGACCTCCTGTTCTGATTAGTAAACTACACTATGTAAGTTCGGTACATTCAATCAGCAGATCAGCTTATAACTTTGCCTGTTATTCTATGTGGGTGTAAAACGTGTTATCTCGTCCTGAAAGGCATATGTTAAGGGTATTTGTGAACGGAGTACTGAATAGATATATTTTCGAGCTCCCTAAAGTTGAGAAATTTCTTAACTATCTGAGCGACAATTATTTCTTCAAGAACAGATTGCCGTCTTCTGCTTCGTTAACCAGTTTAGCACTGTAAGTTGCTACCAACGTTTTAGAGGAACGTATCGCATCAATCTTTAGAGCAGAAGTCTCAATAAAAACCCTTTTATCTTAAGTTAGACATATGACGTTGTCTCTATCACACTCACGCCTTCGTATAGACATACTTTGGGAGTGTTTTGTATTGAGAGTGGAGGCTGAGTGGAATAACGCTAGGTGAGAACGTCGTCTGTATTGTGGTTATTCGATTTTGGAGTAGGGAACCAAGCCTGTTCAACTCATCCTTATTGCGCTGTGAAGTCTCCGTCTGTGCACTTTGCATACACGATCACACCCTGTCTGTTTCTGACAAAAATAAAGTAACGCAATCCTGTCCAGTATCCGGTGACTGCGTGGTCTGGTTTGTGAACATCAGACTACACCTATATGAACCCTATTTAAAGTAGTAATATGATAGGAGATAAATTCTGAAATAGAGTCCTATTAACTAGATTTTTTTTGGAAGTCATATCTATAAATTTGTTTGATTTTATCATATCAATCCGTATGTTATGGGATAAGAAAACTCGAAGACAATCGGAATATCTGAGGTTCTCATGGCGGTGAAGTTTTCGACGTCGGTCTCCTATGTTTTACCAACGTTTTGAAGAAACATACGCTTCCATCTTCAAGGTTGACAGCCTCCGAAACATTGGTGGTATCTGACTACAAATCCACACGACGTTAAAACTCACAATACCAACATCGACAGAATAAGGAGGCACAGAAACTTTTGTTAAATTTAAAAGAGTAAGTCAGTGAAAACGGCATTAATTTTTTCTGTTGAATTATATTCAAAACTTTAATATTCATCAACAGCTTCAAATTTGGGATCTTACGATCTCATAATATAATGATAATAATTGAGGAACGTAACCCAATGAACATTATTACATCCCTTACTGAAGTGAGGTTATGGTACATAATTTTTCAAAATATGTTTGTTCAAGGTCTCTTTTAATATTATCCTGCCATTAACGTCTCACAAGGCTACACTTCCCTTCAGGGTTTCAGATTAAAATACTACATTTATCTCTCACGTCTTCCATGCATGCTACATCGCTCTCCCATCTAGTATTTGGTGATGTTTTCGTCCTAGTAATATCGGTTAAGAGAAAAAATTTTAAACTCGTAAATTTCCCATTCTCACAATTGAATGAATTTGACGTCAACATTTTTGGGATTTTGAGATTCTCACAGTATTGAAAATATGGACCTACGTTAAAATTGTGTAAATTATATTTTCATGTGTCTTTATAGCTCACATCAAGGGAAGAAAATAGATTAAGGGTGTTTGACAACAGGGTGCTTAGGATAATATTCGAACCTAACAGAGATTAAGTAACAGCAGACTGAGGAAAACTGCATAAAGAGGATCTCCACACTTGTGCCCTGTGCAAATATTATTAGGGTGATCAGATTGACGGGGCATTTAGCTCTAGGTTTAGATGGGAGGACAGTATTAAAATTGATTTTCGGGAAATACGTTTTGGGGTGTACATCGGATTGATGTCTCTCAGGATAGAGACTGGTAATTAACCTTCGTACTCCACGAGGAGAGGTCAATTTGTTGACTAGCTGAGCACACCACCAGCTTCTCAAGAAGTACCCTGCTCCATGGCGTTAGTTTAGCCTCTATACATTTCCTTGTTTCCCTTCGGCATTGAATATTACCCCCTGCTCTCCTCTGCACGTGGAACGCTTGGTTGTGCTGCCACGGTAAAGTGTGCAGTGGTGCCATCTGTCAGACAGTACTAGTACTGTTCCGAATATACTGGCAACAATTTCGTTGTTTTTTCAGAACGGGAAATGGAACGGTCTGATTGCCGACCTTGTGAACCGTAAGACGGATATGGTAATGACATCTCTGATGATTAATTCGGAGAGGGAAGCGGTGGTGGACTTCACAGTACCTTTTATGGAAACAGGCATCGCCATTGTGGTTGCAAAGAGGACGGGCATAATTTCTCCTACTGCGTTCTTAGGTGAGTAAGATGTTAAGAGCGCTGTCAATTGTCTAGCCCACTGCTCCGTCGCCCCTTTCAGGCGAAAACAATCCCCATAGCACCTCATTTTCAAATGTTTTTAATCTGTGTCCTTCCCTTAATTTGAGAGACCACACAGTACGTGTAAAAATATAGTTCTGCATGAAGATTTCTGTCTTCTGGGTTGTTGCGCTATGTAGTATTTTAACATCGACCATACTACACGGCGCAACAACCCGAAAGACAGAAATCTTCATACTCACCGCTGTGAAAACCTCAAATCTTACATAGTTCTACGTCTTTTTAATTTTGGCCATTACATAGAAGACGTGAAGACAAAAGATTCTGAAGCAAACTCAAGCATTCCGTAAACTGTATCCGGTATTAATTTCTTCGTGAATGCACTGTTGATCACCATCCTCATTTCCAAATGCTTCTACATCACCAATCATCCACTTTACCTTCATTAGTCTTTGTTGTTCAAAATATTATACTATTAAGACAACTGTTAGTCAGAAGATTTGGTAGAGTATCAATATTTACAGAAAGTACGCAATATTTCATAACACAAACCCATTTCATAATTCCGTAAAGAAAGTATTAATGTTGTTTCTGTAGTATCAGGGTGTTATTTCTTTGTAAATTATTGTTAGTACATTTGTACGTGGCCGTGGCAACGTATAATTTCCTTTGTTTGAAACCTGCATAAGAATTATTTAAACTGTCAAGAGACGGCAGGATCCCCCCCTCCCCACTAAATACTCTCATACATCAAATCTAGAAAGCAGTTTCAAGGCAATTAATCTCGTTTACAGAGAATGGGAAAGCTTAAATAACGGACAAGAAAAATCAGTCACTAACCTTATCTTTGAAACTAAATGCTCAGGAAAATAATCAACGTTTTTAACTTTGAGTCTGTAAAAATATACTTTAATCAAAAGCGTATATTTTATGTAAATCGATTAATTTCCTGTGTAAGATATGAACGTATTATTACATTTTCATTCCTGACCGAAATTTGTATTCACACTGGTGATATTTTATAACCGAACTGTCCGATTCTCTGTCTGTAGATTTGTAACAATAATTCGTTCGTTCGTTCGTTCATTCAGTAACCTGAAGACTGAAGTAGAGCCAGTTCATGAACGTGAAAAAGAAATGTAGACTGTACCTCGAAGAATAGCCAAGAAAACATTCGTATAAATTAAAATTTCTCTCGCGTTTTATAGACGTCTTTTTAATTTTGGCCATTACATAGAAGACGTGAAGACAAAAGATTCTGAAGCAAACTCAAGCATTCCGTAAACTGTATCCGGTATTAATTTCTTCGTGAATGCACTGTTGATCACCATCCTCATTTCCAAATGCTTCTACATCACCAATCATCCACTTTACCTTCATTAGTCTTTGTTGTTCAAAATATTATACTATTAAGACAACTGTTAGTCAGAAGATTTGGTAGAGTATCAATATTTACAGAAAGTACGCAATATTTCATAACACAAACCCATTTCATAATTCCGTAAAGAAAGTATTAATGTTGTTTCTGTAGTATCAGGGTGTTATTTCTTTGTAAATTATTGTTAGTACATTTGTACGTGGCCGTGGCAACGTATAATTTCCTTTGTTTGAAACCTGCATAAGAATTATTTAAACTGTCAAGAGACGGCAGGATCCCCCCCTCCCCACTAAATACTCTCATACATCAAATCTAGAAAGCAGTTTCAAGGCAATTAATCTCGTTTACAGAGAATGGGAAAGCTTAAATAACGGACAAGAAAAATCAGTCACTAACCTTATCTTTGAAACTAAATGCTCAGGAAAATAATCAACGTTTTTAACTTTGAGTCTGTAAAAATATACTTTAATCAAAAGCGTATATTTTATGTAAATCGATTAATTTCCTGTGTAAGATATGAACGTATTATTACATTTTCATTCCTGACCGAAATTTGTATTCACACTGGTGATATTTTATAACCGAACTGTCCGATTCTCTGTCTGTAGATTTGTAACAATAATTCGTTCGTTCGTTCGTTCATTCAGTAACCTGAAGACTGAAGTAGAGCCAGTTCATGAACGTGAAAAAGAAATGTAGACTGTACCTCGAAGAATAGCCAAGAAAACATTCGTATAAATTAAAATTTCTCTCGCGTTTTATAGAGGTATTTTCTCTGTACATCTTTCCGCTTTATTTGTCATGATTTGTTTCACACAAGCCAACAGAAGTTCAATATTCTGTTGCGCAGTGAACAAAAGAACACACTGGACGGCTCTCTTGTTGTAACGGGAAGCTAGTTACCTGTTGCTTCCCCAGCTGTACGTGACACTTTGCAACGAAGCAAGAGATTTAATCAGAAGTGCCGGTGTTCTGCGTTTTATTACGCGTGCAATCTGTGTTAAGTAGAAAACCTGAAGAAACAATATATCACATAAACTCCATGGCACAAATTTCTTTCTGGAAGTTACAGGAAAGTCAATTTACTGTTCTTTTATAAACAGACGATTAAAAGCCCAAATCAAATAAGCGAAATAATTTAGTCCTCTGTTATCTCAACCATTTTGTTGATATGTCCTTCTAGCATAAATTCCTCGATGCATAATTTAGAAAATGGTATGTTACGACTTTAATTAATAATTATTCTAATTTTACTCATTTCACACTGAGGTTACCTTAATAATAAATGCCATGCGTCTTTGTACTTACTTACCTATAAATTTCTATAGTAATACGATCAGGCTCTACAGATTGACAGCCAATGAGATGGTAGGAGAACATTATTAATATACTTTCACAGATTTTGTAAAACATTAAAACACTCAGGCAAAGCTTTTAATTTTCCAATTGAGATTTCTTTCTCAGAGCATAGAAAGGGTTGCGGTTTCCAGAATATTGTCCAAAATACGTAGCTCACGTACCAAGTGACTACTACTGACCTAACAAGACGTCTCTTACTTTAGATTTTGCTTTCCATTATTTTTTCCAGAACCTTTTGATACTGCATCTTGGATGTTGGTGGGCGTTGTAGCTATTCAGGCTGCCACGTTTACAATATTTTTGTTCGAATGGCTCAGTCCTGCAGGATTTGACATGAAGGTACGTCCGATATCCTTGACCATTAAAGTTTTAAATGATTTTTACTTTTCATGTAATAAACATCAGTATCTTTTATAATGTATAGTCCTATATATAGTGTGTGTATGTATTTAGAGCTACATACGAAATCAAAATATACATGCTCATATATGTGTATACATTTATATTACGTATGTGTGTACATATAGATATCAGAAAAATCATAATTGACATTTTATATGGGTATGAATCTTTATTTCTATCCATAGCAGAAGAATACAAATTGACAGTATTAACCAGACGCCAAGCGTCTGGGTTAACCCTGCTAACTTCCGTGGTTCAGAGGTAAAATATGACAGAACTGATCAGATCACTTTTCTCGCTATTTTAATTGTGTAACGCGCGTGCCGTGTTACTTATGACTGTGCCACGGAAGATCAAGTGCGATGTATATAATCTATTGCAGTGGTATTCAATATTTTTTGTTCGTGTACCCCCAGATATAATTTCTCTTCAACTTTGTACCCCCAAAGTTGTTGGTGTATAATTCAAGTTATACATAGTATATAATCTACATCTAAAATAAATTAAATAAATTAAATTACTGATTATTCAGTGTTTATCATAAAATACATATGCATATATTCACCCCTGTACAAACATAAAAGTTGAACTGTTGATCTCCGTTAGCTGTCAGATAAGTTAATTTTAATGCCTTCGCCCTCATCGGAAAACCGTCTTTTATCTCCAAGAAACCTTAACGCAAGTTTAAAGGATTTCCAACACTACATTTAGTATGTTACTCATCATATGGTATGGGAATGTGATATTCTCATCTTTGAGATGTAACAAGATAGGAGGATGGTAACTCGTCCTAGTTGGAGCTGCTTGTGTTCCTTCCAGCAAGTGTCTCCGTCCCCGAACCACAGGTTTTCCCTCTTCCGCACCTACTGGCTGGTCTGGGCCGTGCTATTCCAGGCGGCCGTCCACGTTGATTCTCCGAGGGGATTTACCGCGAGGTGAGTAGGAGCTCTCCTTTGCTGTTTCTGTTACTGCACTATTTAAAGCCTTCAGGTCCTAAACCTACACTGCGGTAGCAGAATCCTGAGCTTCAAACACCGCCAGCACAAAAGTTGTGACTGCATGATCCTCGTTCATTTCCATCCACCTCTCATTCTCATAACCTGTCTCCCTTTTATCAGTGTTGATGATGACATTCTATTTCTTTCTTGCTTTTGCAAGTGAACATTTTCCAAGAAATTTCCCCTCCAAAATCATGTGGACCTATACAATCCTTGCCCCCCCCCCCTT